AGTGCTGAGGGAGCGCCGCACTGTCGGAGGGTCAGTGCTGAGGGAGCTCCGCACTGTCGGAGGGTCAGTGCTGAGGGAGCGCCGCAGAATCCACATTTTAAAATTTAATTCAAATTCCAGTACCTGCCATGATGGGATTTGAACCCATGGCTTCAGCACATTTGGTTGGATCTCTGGATTACTCGTCATAGCCTCACTGGTGGACTATACTGGAAATGAAGCCTCATCATTAGAGTCACAGAAATTTGAGATTTTATCTTAATGCAGAATCCCCAATGTCCCAGACTGCTAGACTCAGGTCAGTGGAAATAAATGGGCCAGGTTTCTGTCCTTAACAAGAACGACAACCTGTTACAAATCAATTGATTCTAAGTTCAGATAAATATCTGTGAACTGTTGACATAAAACTCGAATCCCTTTTAGAAGTCCCCACACATGCACAGAGACAAACACAGACCTAAAAACAGTTGGTGGTGTCAGTGGAGTGCAGTAAAGATTTGTGAAACAATTGAATGGCACTTGTCCTTGCGATCCGTGAGAGTGTTCCTAATGTTTCCCAAGGAGCTCAGTTCTCTGATCTATTCTTTCGGGTCCTTGCACATCTGTACAGGAGGCACAGAGCAACTGGTTTGCATATTATAAAGTCGCTGACTTGTTGGTTGAAAGTAACAACTTGCAGTAACGGGTGAGGAGAATAAACTCTTTAACTTCAGGAGCTTTCACTGGAGAGACAAAGAGACAGAGAGAGAGAGAGGGGGAGGTGGGTGTCACCTCTTCTTCCAGAGGGCTGAAGGTTTCACCCATTACCCAAACAATGCAACAGTGTAAACACAACTTGCAATGAGTTTCATAACTTGCATTTCATACATGTCACAATCCTTCCTCAGTTCTTTGTTGTTAAACAGTCCAAATTTTCCAAATTCAGTCCACAATCAAAATAAAGCAAAGCAAAAAGATACAGTCTCTACATTACCAGCATATACTATGTCCCCAGAATTCCTACATGCAGCAGAGGCCATACGGCAATAGGTGCTTCATTGGCTGTTAAACACTTCAGGATGGCTTGAAGGTGTATAGAGAATTTTTGTATTCATTCATGAGATGAGGCCATCTCTGGCTGGGCCAGCACTTACAACCCAGTTGTAAATGCCTAATTACCCAGAGGGTAGTTCAGAGTCAACCACATTGCTGTGGGTCTGGAGTCACATGTAGGCCAGACCAGGTAAGGATGGCAAACTTCCTTCTCTGAAGGATGTTAGTGAGCCAGATGGGTTTTTTGACAATGGTTTCATGGTCATCAGTAGACTGTTAATTTCAAATTTTTTTTATTGAATTCAAATTCCATCATCTGCTTGGCAGGTTTTGAACCTAGGTCTTCAAAACATTAGCTGAGTTTCTGGATTAATAGTCTAATGATAATACCACGAGGCCATCCCCTCCCTTCTACAGAGATGAGAACGTTGTAACATTAAAAATGATTGTGATGATACCTATTTTGTTTGCCTGACCCCACACAGGAACTGGAGATGCAAGCACAAGCCCATGGACTATCCACAGTCTCGCCCTCGGGGTTAAACACGTCAGAGCTCACCAGTTCCTCCTCCCTCAAACCGGAGGAGAATGTCATGGACATGTTTCAACGCCAGCGGCCACAACATCTGCAACCTCCTCAAAGCCAGCTGGACTTTCCTCAGGCCCTCGACTTCTGTGACAGCTCGCTGGGTTTCACCGACCCCATGAACCAATTCGCTGACCTCTCCTTCAGCATTCCCGCCAAAAAGGAATACCAGCTGGACGAGATGCTGATGATGGACAATGCAATCTCTCCCTTGGGGAGAGACCCCTTACTCTCCTCAGGGTCACCAGAGGCATCGAAAGCCAGCAGCCGAAGGAGCAGCATTAGCATAGATGATGCTGATATTCTGTGACACACACACACACACTTACACACACACACACACACACGCACTTACACTCATGCTCACAGACACATTCTCACACTCAGACACATACATACCATACTTCTCACAGACACACACTCACTCAGTCACACAGACACACACCCACACATGCGTACGCAACCACACACACCTTCACAGACACACTGATGCGCGGACACGCACACGCACACAGACACTCACTCACTCACACACACACATACTCTCACACGTGCACACACATACTCTCACACATGCACACACTCTCACAGACACACTCACATACACACAAACACACTCATACAGTATAAACTATTGGTTAGGGTTCAGCCTTGTAAGGTTTGGAAAATTACCTGGAGCTTTGACTGAATTGAAGAATGTGTCAAACGTTCCTCTCTCTTTCTACTGGATTCTCTGAGTTTGAAGATTTTCATATCGCCATGTCATTTTGCAGACCATGTTTTACAGTGACCTATTGTGACTGCCTTTCCCTCTGTCTGTCCTGTTTGTATTGTGACCCAGGGGCCTGTTTACAGATAATTCTTCAAACCAGCACTTCCAAAGGAGGGGAGCATTACCACAGACAGGGTGCACTCTCTCTCTCTCTCTCTCTCTCTCTCTCTCTCTCACCCTCTCTCCCCATCTCTCAGGTAGACTTGGGCTATCCTTTTTCTGAGTGATGCCTTGGCTTCCGGCACAGTTTGTATCTTTAAAACAATCTCCACTGAGTTAGTGAAATGTCTGTGAGGTTTTGGTGGGGTGGACAGTCTCCTGGTAACATTTCAAAATTGGATTTTCAAAAAACTCCTGGAATTGTTAAAATTCCCTCGGTCCCCCAGCGATTTGTTGAGCTGATGTTGATCTTCTTGTTGTCATGGAGCTATGCTGACCAGCAGCTTTTGGGCAGGTCCTTTATCTGCATTGATTTAGCTGACCTTAGCCAAGCAGACAGTTGTACTCCGTACCTCTGGTGAATAAACAAAAGGCTCTTGTCCCCATTATTTATCCTGTGACGCCTGTGGGTCCCAGTATTTAGTAAATTGGGTTTGCCCACCTTGATCTCAGTTCTTCTGGTTAGAGACGTGGCAAACAGTCGAGAACGACTCCTGTCGGAGGACCACAGAATTTTACTGTGCACGTAGAGGCCTGTACTGGTTCTGTTACCCAGTGCCAATTTCATGCCTCTTCCCCATCTCCCTGCACACCATTTCTATCCAAATCACCATCTAATGTTCTCTTAAATGCCTCAATTGAACCTGCCTCTACCACATTTCTACGCTGTGTCCCAGACTCTTTGTTAGTTGCTCCAAAAGAGCAAAGGTGAAAATTGGAAGTTTCTGTGGCTGTGACATTGACCCTGTTGATCACTGTCAGGTTGATTTTACATCAGAAACCCTGCGATTGGGGCCTGGGGCTGCCAGTCAGTATTACGATGACAGGGAATGTGCATTTTTGCAGTTTTCCTGTGTTCTCTGGTACCTTAACTTGAATTCAGATGGAAAAGCAGTCAACTGATATAGGATCGCCTTGCTCCTCACAATGTCACAGTTTCATTTGGAGGCCGTCTGAATAATCTGTGCACAGTTTTAATTGTAGGCCACATTGAAGCCTGCAGCATCTCCAATCTCCAATCTGCTGAATAGATGAGACTCAAGTAAGTGATAAAAGCATTTAACCAGTCAAGAAGTTTTAGAAAAGAGGAACAGGAGGTATTCTGGCTGACATGGGGAAGGCACTTACTTTTCTCTTCAACTATTCATTCACTTCCCCTTTCAAAAGTTACTTTGCTTCACTGCCCTTTCACACAGTGCATTTCAGACCATTACAACTCAATGCATAGAAACATTCTCTCATCACCCTCTGCTGTTTTACCAATTGTCCTCAATTTGTAATCCTATGGTTACTGTGTTTCCTCCATTGGAAACAGTTTTCTTTATCAACTCTTGACGATTTTGTGCACTTTTATTGAGTCACTATGTAACCTTCTCTGCTCTATGGAAAACAATCCTAGTATTTCCAGGCTTTACTTTGAAGTGAAATTCCTCATGCCCCAATTGTCCCTTATCCCCAGAACATCCTTTATTCAAGAGGACTTTCCAAATCCATGAACATTTCCATCAGGAAGGGCAAAGGCCACAGATACATGGGAACAACAGCCCCCTGCAAGTTCTCTCTAAGCTGCTCACCATTCTGAATTGGAAATACATTGCCATTCCTTCAGTATTGCTGAGTCAAAATCCTAAAATGTCCTGATTTATGGAACTGTTGCTATCTTTTTGCTACAGGGATTACAGTGGTTTAAGAAGGTGGCTTACCATGACCTTCTTTTGGGCAATTAGTGATGGGCATTGCCTTCTGCCCTTGCTACAATAGCAGCATTCCAGGGACAAATAAATAAATTAGTAGAACTCCTCCTAACTTTCTCCAAGGCCTCGACTTCTTTCCCTAAGTATGGTGCCCCACGTTGGACCAATACCTCTGGGGCCTAACCAGTGTTTTATAATTTTTTAAAGTTTTCTAATCTCCTTCACTTTGCTGATTAAAGTTTTTATAAACTGTCACAGTCTCACAAGTTAAAAGTCTCAGGGAAGCTTGAATAAACAAACACAGGGTCTTTCTAATACTGGCTGTGGAACATCAGTTTTTACAGCAATTACACCACTTTACATCCATTATACATGACTGTGTGAGAGTCTGTGTATGTCTATTTGTGTACGTGACTTGCACATGGATTTATGTGCAAATATACGTACACAACTCTAAAGCAATAACATTTTTCTGGCATAGTATCATCAAACATTAGCCAAATGTTTATTTAATGATAGGTTCTATTTCAGGGGTCTTTTCACATCAGCCGGTGCAGGTGTCAGCTCCCCACTGAGGGAATGTCAACAGGAATCTCTCACACCAAAGAAATTCTATCGTGACCCCTGTGTCGTCTATCCCATAAGCAGGACTTGTGGATTTTTGTTTTATTTGTTCACGGGATGTGGACATCAGTGGCTGGGCAGCATTTATTTCCTGTCCCTGGTTGCCCTTGAGAAGGTGGGGGTGAGCTGCTTTCTTGAACTGCTGCAGGCCATGTGCTGTAGGTAGACCCACAATATACTTAGAATTCCAGGATTATGACCCCGTGACATTGAAAGAGCAATAACTGCAGAACTCTTAGCCTCTGATCTACTCTTATAGCCTCAGTATTTATATGGCTGGTCCAGTTCAGTTCCTAATAAGTGATATCCTCAGAATGTTGACAGGGGATTCAGAGATGGTGATGTCATTGAATGTCAAGGGGTGATTTTCTTTTCTTGGGGATAGTCATTATCTGGCACTTGTGTGACATAAATATTACTTGCCACTTGTCAACCTAAAATATTGTCCAGGTCTTCCTGCATTTGGACACAGGCTTCAGTATCTGAGGGCTTTAAATGGTGCTGAACATTGTGCAATCATTGGCAAACGTCCCCATTTCTGACCTGATGGAGGGAAGGTCATTGATGATGCAGCTGAAGATGGTTGGGCCCAGGACTCTACCCTGAGGAACTCCTGCAGAGATGTCCTGGAGCTGAGATGACTTACCTCCAACAACCATCTTCCTGTGTGCCAGGCATGACTGCAACCAGTGGAGAGTTTGCCCCTGATACACATTGATTCCAGTTTTGCCAGGGCTCCTTGATGCCACACTGGGTTAAATGTGACCTTGATGTCAAGGGCAGTCACTCTCAACCTGCCTCTGGCATTCAGTTCTTTGTCCATGGTTGGACCAAAGGTGCAATGAGTTAGGAGCTGAGTGGCCCTGCAGTAACCAAACTGGAACAGGTCACATTAAGGAGGTGGTTGGATTTGGAGGACATCTTCAGTACTGTTGCTGGAATGTTGTCAGGCCCACAATCTTTGCAGTAACCAATGGCTTCAGCTGCTTCTTGATAGCAAATTGAGAAAATCAAATTGCCTGACGACTAACATCTGTGATGCTGGGGACCTCTGAAGGGGGCCAAGATGTTTTCAAGTTTTTTAATGTCTCAGCATTTATCCAGTACTTTCCCCTTTGTGTTCTATAGCAGATAACCTACAACCTCCCATACCTGTGCATAATTTTTAAAATGTGTCACATAAATGTCTATAAAATATGGTCTGAACTAGTTTCTACTGCCAATCAATTCATGGCTGTTGCCAATTAACCTACAACCAGTTTCTCAGTGACCATCCAGAAGCACACTTGAGCTCGCTCCATGAGAAAATAAACCGCTGCAGGGAAATTGACTTCCTTGGAATTCTGTCAAACTTTTCAAAGCTACGAGTGTCAGTAATTCATATTATTTAGCTTTGTAATAAACAAGTTATGATCTGATATTTCTGCTTCAGCGTTTCCTGAGAGAATGAGCCACCTTCACCATCTAGAAACGTAACCAAGGGATTTATTCAGGTGGGGAAAAAGTGTCACAGGAAAAAAAAACTGTGTGTGGCCTCTTTAGAAGGAGCAGTGTTATTGGCCTGGTCTCCTTCGTCAGTGCCTCTTCTCCCTGAACCATGATGCCGTGAGTTCGTGTTCCATACAGTGTCTCAGCGGCTGACATTCTGGACGAAATGCTCTACAGTCGGAGATGCATCGATTGATGAGGGTTTAAACTGAAGACATCCCTGTTCTCTAAACCGATATGTTTTTTAAAAAAAACTCAACAGTGCTGGTTTGGGGAACACTGGGACTGTTCAGTCAATATCCTGGCCAATATTCATCTCTCGTCAACACCGCCAAAATGGATTATCTAATTATTTATCACATTATAGGATCTCACTGTGTGATAATTAGATGCCTCTGTTCCAACTTCAAATTTCATTGGCCGTAAGGTGCTTGGGATGCCTTGAGCCAGGGAAAAGTGCTTTATAAATGTTCCTTTTTTTGAAGTTTATGTTCCAAGCTGTACTGAGGGACATGTTTACCTGTTCAGCGTATAATTGCTGTTTGTAAGTGGCCTGTGACATAATCCAATTTGTTAGGAATTATTGAAAACTTTGAAGTTAAGCAAACTATGATTGTTTCCCACACCTTTAGATCAGACCACAATCCGAATCACTTCACAAA